ATTCATATGTACTTCTGCAAACTGAAAATTCCTTATTTATAGTATGCAAACTTTGTTTCAAAGAACCGAGACCACCAGTGAGACACACTGACCACCTTCTGTGTGCAGTACTTCTTTCAAGAAATGTCTGTCATGCCACGATCCATTCTCGGAAAACGCTTCTTTTCCCAGTGTGTAATAGAACACTGACTAGAGCTTAGAAGCCACTGTGAAATGGTTTCCACTGCTGTTGTCTCAGTTGAAAAATGCTTCAAGGGCTTGCAGAAACCCTGCCACTTTTTACTTCAGCCCATTTGTGCACCTGACAGTAGGGAACAATTTAAAGCAAGCTCATCTCTGTTTTCCACTTCTAATCTCTAGCCCCTACCCTCCTACATTTACAAGGTAGCCCAGGAATCACAATTTACGGAAGTCTCAGTGTCCCTAATGGGTACAACTTTGTTTCTTCAGACAATTCCTAGAGAAAAACTGATTTAGCTGTTTCCAGACTGACGTTAAGGACAGCAACTCAAAACAGGATTCCTGCTCTTCACCTCCAGCTACACTTCTGTGGCTTTTTTTTTTTTTCCTGTGGCTGAAGAGTTTTTTTTTTTTTTTACTTCTAACATTTATTTAGTGGTCTGTCGTGAGTTGTGAAAGAAGCCTCCAATATCTTAGTCTAAGATGTCGCAGTCCCCTAGTCTTAGAGCTCATTTTAGTGATGAGTGCGGGATTATGCTGCACTGATAATTCTGTGCATCTGTGCTACTTTCCACACCAGGATTGCAAAGTGCTTCAACAACCTCAGCACTCATGAGACATCATTAACTCCTCAAATAGGAGCTTACCCTTCCGTAATCAGACACCAAGGCACAGCACGGTTAAGGGGGTGATGAAACCATAAAGTGGAGCTCACACTCCTGCTGATTAAGTCCATGTTCTGTGTTTTCAGTGGCTTGGTTCTTGTTCAAATGCACTCTTCCAAACCAGAAATGAAAGCACGCCGAACATCATTCCACCCTGAAGTAAGGGCCGTGGGACTTTGTCAGCACAGGTTCCTTATTCTATATAGGCCAGTGTGAGTCAGAAGCTGCAGCAAAGGTAAGAAAAAAATTGGGTAAGAAAGACATAGCAGCCCAACCTGCCTAGAGGAGCTTCAAGGAGATAAATAAAGCATCTGAAGCTCTCCTATAGTCCAGTAATCAACGTGAAATTCAGACAAATAATTACTAAGATTGACTTGAGAAAAGTCATTGAGGTTTAGATGGACTATGAAGTCTTCCATCCATCTCTGTTGTAGAGTTTGCCATGGTACTTTCCTGTTGCTAGGACTGGTGTAAGGTTAATTTTAAAATGCGATCTCATCTCAGTTTGGTTGAGGAAAATGCTCAAGTGTCAAAGGACTGTTAGCAGCCTTTCACAAAGGCAAGGAACTCTAAGCTCAAACCATGTATATATTTGGCCTGTCATTAGCTAGGATGGTTTGCACAAACACATTGCATCATCATCTGCTCAAATGCAAGCCTATC